TGATGGTGGGTAGAGAGGCAGATAAAGCAGGGAGTTACAGACGGTGGTGAGTATTTTATGCTGAGAGTGATGGGAATCCACTGAGGCTAAAATACGAATCCGCTAAGCAGGGGTGTATGGCATCAGGCTACAGGATCCATCACCCCTTCCCACCACATACTTAGGGTCAGAGCCCTCACTCATGAAAAATGTTAGTGCCTGGACTACTTTCTTATTTACGTATCTTTCTCAAGCTACATTCCCTATTCTCAGCTCTCTCTTACAGTCTTTATATTTTTAAAATGCTAATGTTACAGCCATGTAGAGAATGGATGAGTAATGTTAGGGGATGAGGGCATTGGTGGTTTAGCGGTAGAATCCTCGCCTTTCACGTGAGAAGTCTGGGTTCGATTCCCAGCCAATGCACCTTATGCACAGCCACCACCCATCTGTTGCTGAACCCGTCCGTTCACCATGCTGTGCTGTTGAATGGGTTCCAGTTGAGCTTCCAGACTCGGAAGGACTAGGAAGAAAGGCCTGGTTATATACTTTAGAAAATCAGCCAGTGAGAATCCTGTGGATCACGACGGTCTGACCCACAACCGACCACGGGAATGGCACAGGACCAGGCAGTGTGTTGTCCGGGTGTGCGTGAGGTCACCAGGAACGGAGGGCTGACTTAAGGCAGCTCACAACAACATTGGGGAGTTTGTACGTAGTCCATGCAACTTCTGACGGCGTGTTTTGATGCACTCATGGCTGTGGGGGTGGAGAAAAGTGAAAAGATTCAACATATATTTCTTTAGTAACCAGAAGAAACTAGTAGAAACTAAAGATGACTTCTAGATTCACTACTTTAGCAACTAGATGAGTGTTGGTACCATTTATAGCAACTGAGGATTCATCAAGAAGACTAGTCGAAGGAGGTGGGGTGGGGTACAAAGCTCTGTTTTGGGAATATTAATTATGAAGATGCTATTAGACTTTCTGGAGCAGATGTCACATAAGGAGTTGGATAAATTAGTCTGGGGCTCCATAGAGAATTTGGATATTTTGGTGCAACCAGGATTGAGACCTTGGTAAGTGTGTATGACTGATGGATAGAAATATAATATTAGTCTAAATTGAAGGAATTTGGAG